AATAATACTAATAACAAGTATCGTTGTGATGTGTAAAAAATAAGATTTAACAGTATAATTTATATAATTATTAAATAAAATTAAAGCCAAACATGTGAAATATTATTTATTATTTAAAGTTTTTATTTATAAGTCAAATATTTAAACATCGTTTATTATAATAAAACAAGACCAACGTAATACGCCCAAAGTTTTGTAAATGGAGTAATTATATAAAGGTACTTAAATTATGGCAAAAATAAAAGACTTACATTATATTTTTAGGGCCACAAACAAATGGAATTGTCTAATTAAAACACATATAACAAATTATAGTTTGAAAAACATTTTGATAATCATTTATTTGATAATATTATGATTGGAGCTATGACAACGACAATATTTTTTGAGAATTTGACAGTAATGTGACAATGGCCGTTGGAAACTATGGAAACTACAAAAAAATTCTGATTTAACGCCATCTGGCAATAACTAGTAGCAACTTCTTAACCTAAAAATTAATTGCACTACCACCGTGGAAACGGTGGAACCGCTTTTGCTATTTCACTTTCCCGTCCCTGGATGAAAGTAAAACATGCACAAAACATCCCCCTTTAGGACTTCATCTGTCATGTTAAAAAATGAAAGTAAATAATAAAGCGCCTCTCGTGTTTGTTCGCACTCTAAAAATTTCAATTAATGCTTGTATATATTTTTAATATATTTTTAAATTTACATTTTTTTAATTGTAAAGTAATATATTACATTTAAATGGAATATATTACATTACAATTATGTCAATTACAGGATTACATGCTTGTTTTCTAACGTTTTTTAAATAAAACGAATTGTTAAATTTCAATATATGTATATTTGTCGTAGGTATGAAAAAAGTAAAATATAAAGTGGACAAACGCTTACTTACATTGCAATAAAACTTCCACTTTTAGTTTTGCAATCCAAACGCAATATTTCTATTTCACAAATAAAAATATCCGACAACACTAAAATCACTGAAACTTCCGCGGCTGACAACGAAAACTGAAAAATATAACGGCACTTTTTGTTTTGGACCTGCATATCAACATTACGCTGTACCATTATGAAAATATCTAATTATAACTTGTAAATTTTAACATTTTAACATGATTTTAACACTAACGTTTTGTTATCAAGATGACATTTTAGACGGCATTAGATGAATAAATTTTCGCAATTTTTACACCATTTGATGACCGGTGGCGCCTCTAGTGTTTGTTCGGGCGGTTGGTCTTTTACTCCCACTTATGGCCATTAAAGAAAAAGTTCTAAAGGGGGATGTTTTGAAACTATCTTGCTTACTTACTTCTTTGAACTACAGAAGAAATTTGTGCCATCATCCTTATGGACTAAGTATTCAATACTCAAGTCAAGTTTGCAGATTTATAAAAATGTTAATATTTCCGAATTTCTAAAACCTATAAATTTTCTCAAAATCAAGGGAAAATATGATAAGCCAAGGAAAAAATCTAATAAACTTACATCTGTACTGTTTCATGCTGACCATGTCGGGACACCGTTCTCTTAACAACTGACCAGCGATATTTCAATAAAAATATTAATAATAATAGTCACATCTTGCGAGTAGATAAAGTCTGCGTAACACTAAAAATAACTCTTACACTTGACATTTGACATTATTTTGTTTTCCGTTTATCGAAAATAGCCCACTATAATTATACGGATCACAGAAAAAGAATGATGGGTCTGCACTGATTACGGATGCGACCGAATTGTTCAATGTAATATCACTATCGTACCGCATAAACTGTACTTTTTTATTTTGTTTAGACGAGATAAAGCTCATTGTGTTAATTGTTTCATTTGTTTAACTTTACGATGTTTTTATTTGTTTTAAATGGGTTTAAAATTGACTGGGTTTATGTTGTAATTGCTTTATACCGGGTGTATCACCCAGTCCAGATTTTAGATTTTAAACCAATATTATTTTAGATATCGATTTTTTTTCCGATTTAGCTGAAATTTTGAATGCGCGTATAAGTAATTTTAAAAAAAAAATTAAAAAACACATTACTAAAAATTGTACAAATCAATAACAAATATGTAAAAAGTAAAAATAAATATGTAAAAATATGTAAAAATAAAAAAAAACGATTAAAAAAAAAGCCGCATTGACTGGGATTCGAACCTGGCTTACTACGGCTCCAACGTCATAGCAGCGTAAAGTCCTGACGCTTTAACCACGCGGCCACCGAGGACTTGAAAGATTCTATGTAAAATTCTTACTTAAAAGATAATGTTTAGTAAAAGTACTTTTTTATTTATAAACATTTATTTAATTCTGTTTTTAGTATTTGATCTTATAGCGGCAACATTAAGGGAAATTAAAACAACTTTCGTTGCACGTCAGCAAACCCCATGCCTCGTCTTATGGAGTTTGCTGGTGGTCGTATTATGATGTGCAACGAAAGTTATCTTAATTTCCTTTATATATACATTTTCTGTGAAAATTTCAACTGTCTAGCTATAACCCTTGTATATGAATTTGATATGAATTTTTAAAGTAGCTCAACCTAAGACGTTTATGGATGTAAAGCACCAGATGGCGGGGCGTATTTCACAGTCTTTTACTACAGAAAAATATTTTTTGTTACTCTGAATTTTGAAGCGCCCAATAAAAACAGAGAAAATAAAAATCGATAATTTTCGGACTGTGTCAATTGGTTACTAATCGACCAGATACTTTTTGCCTATTAGATATGCTATAAAAGCTGGTAATTATACAATTCGACCATTGTAAATACCCGACAAATTTCGCAAGGCCGACGAGGCCGATGCTTTCCACTGATAAGAAAACAAAAATGTTTGTTTAGATAATTTTCGAGATATTTTTTCTTTCTGAATGCACATTTTTAAAGTATATTATATTCTTTGTCCGCTTGATCTATTATACTGGTTGCACGTATCGAGGTTCTGTTTCTTCTAGTTTTAAAAAATGTTCCTATTTCTTTGTAGTTGTAGTGGTTGTAGTGTAAAATTAGATTCATTTTATTAAGTTTAATTATAATGTTTAGTGTAGAATACCAGAAATAGTTTAGTAGTGTTTTTATAGTTTATTATTTTGCAGTTAAGTAGTAGGTGAAAGGATAATTTGGTTATTTTTTCTTTTTGTTTGATTAATTAGTAAGTTTGATAATTTTTTCAGTGTAGAAGTGGTTGAAGTAGTGAAGAAGTAGTTGTGTAGTGTTTTTATAAGAGATTATATTAGTTTATTTTGTAGATGAGTAGTAGGTGAAGGTATTTGGGTATTTTTTCTTTTTGTTTTTCTTCTAATTGTTGTAATTCTATTAAGTATTGTGATAGATACACTATATCTTCCTTCAACTTTGTTGAAAAGTGCGTTATCATATAATTTTGGTTTTCTGGTAGTAGAATATACGAAAAAAAAATCTGATCAAATTTATTTTAAATTAAATTAATCGAGTTTTATTAATCAAATTAATCTAGTCAAATAAGAGTCGGTTAAATGGAGAAAAAATTGCAGTTTTGTGGGGTCATAAATATGCGCCTTTCGGATTTTTCGGAGAAATTCAAGGCTTACTAGATATTTCGAAAAAAACAAATTTTGGCTATTTTAAAACTTTGTCTCTAATTCCATTATAATCTACCGTATGATCGAATAAAAACGGCGTCAACGATGGCTATGAAATGAAGACCGCTGTCATTTTATATCTATGTAAAATTATATGGGAAATATCATCGATCGTCATTTCATAGCCATCGCTGAAGCCGTTTTTATTCGATCATACGGTATTTTAGACAAAAAGTTTTCAGATAAAAGTTGTAGATAATCACATACCTAATGAGTTTGTGTTTTCTGTTTTTTTTCTAAAGCCTGTCATTTTTGACATATGACACAAACATTATGTTTTTTTTAAATGGAAACCATAGTTGGCCATGACTTCATGAAAAGCGCCAGTTTTTAAGCTTTTCAGCGATATAGGTATAATATGTTTTTTTCTAAAAATTACAAGTTATAGCCAATTCTTTTCTTTCTTGGCTAATTTCCATACCAATAATACCATGCCAATTAGTTGGCATCAAAAATGTAAAAAGTTTCATGTTTTCAAAAAAAATATCATAAAATTCGTAAAGCACTCAATTTAGAATAAAATAATCTAAGAATGAAATGATTATTTTATATACCTGCATTAAATCAAATTAAAATAGGTATGTAACTTTTTTTTAAATACTAATTAACAGCAATTAGCATTATCATAAATTATAAATAATGTACCAACATATCGAAATAATAATTTCTTTGTTAATACGGTTTAGAATTCTTAAAATTACAGGCAAAAATAATCCACAATTTACAAGAAAATAAAAGTTTCGTTTAAATTTCTTAATCAGCTGATCACTATTAAAGTTCGCAGAAACCCTGGGCTATATTATTACATTACTCTGAGGAAAATAACGAAAATAATCGATATTTTTGACTCCGCCCCGAAAGGTTCACGATTTGTCCTCCAGTTGGCAGCACATTTTGTCTAGTCGGTTGGGCAACTTTACTACAACGGTTCATAAGATAGACCTTTGTGACAGACGGACGGACGGACAGCGAAGTCTTAGTAATAGGGATCCCGTTTTTACCCTTTGGGTACGGAACCCTTAAAATACAATAATGTCGTATTCTTATTTATACCCATAAAAAAACACTTTTTGCGTATTAAAAATGCCAAATATTCCAAATATGCTAATGAGCCACCCTCGTTTTATTTGAAAACAATTGAGTATTTGATTAAAAACTAATGGTTTTAAAACAGCCATGGTACTCTAGATTGAAAATTAAAATGTTATTGTTTTTAATTGAAAATATCAAAAGGTGGCATAAGATATCATAGAATATATCATTTTCTGACATTACAAATTGGGGATGGAACCTTTGGTGTCGCAACAACGAAATAATAGGGTAATTTTGAATAACACCCTGTATAAATGGTGTAACTAACCGTTTTATTTATTTAGACTACAGAGGAATTTTATTACTAAAAATAAATTCAACTTTTAAAATACACAATATATACATTTATTTATTTTCATAACAAGTTAATTTTCAGTCGCATTCTTTACATTAGTAATGAATATCTGCACTGTACAGTGCAGGTACAATAAATTTCTTTTCCTCTACAGTAGCAATGGGTGCAGGTGCTACCCTAGCCCCAGTAGAAATTGTAGCGGCTGCCGAAAGATGGTTTTTGTCTACAGGAATATTAGTAGCTGCTACTCTGAACCCAGCCTTATCAGCAATGTAGTTCACTGTCTGGACCACTCCGAAAGCATCTATGTAGGAATATCCTCCTTGGACTACACCATCAGCTGATCTAGTCTCTGACTTAGCTGCATATGGCTCCACATACCTAAATATAAGGATATAGAGATATATAAATTGGGCAGAAATGTTTAAATTTGTTGTCTAATTTAAGATACCAAGCAGCTCTTCATTTAACTTTATAGAGCAAATGATTGTAACAGATATTTTATTAAGATTAAAGCTGCAAAAATTCGTTTAAACCGAATTTTATTATCGCTATGTTGGTCACATTGCGCCGTTTTCAGCAGGGTTGTCGTTTATTATGTGACAATTATCCTAATGTCAGTCATTATTTTGTATAATATCGTGTTGTTGTTGAATCTTTGTGAGTAATTCTCGTTTTTTTTTGCCTATTTTCATAGTTTTTTTTAATTGGGCTCTGGTGCACAATAGGTCCCCACGCATTTAACACTTTTTTGGGATTTTTTTGCAAGATTATCTTAAACTGAATATTTTTAAGCATAAAAATTGTTGGATGAATGTGTTTTATCTTTAAAAAGCGGCAAAAAAACGTATTTTAGGTACAGGCGACGGACAGTAAATATGTTAAATTTTCTACACGGATTCAGTAAAAACATCACATATTAGTACTTTATTACCTTATATAGACGTGGAATAAGGTTCCCAACTTGAGCATCGGCGATTCCGGGACATTTATTTTTAAGCTTATAAATAATTGAAGCAAGACATTAAATATTAGAAAATTAAATATATTATGTGTGTAGTACACATTTTTTTAATTTCCAGGTCCCGGCCAAGGTAAAACTTTCGCCGGGACAAACATTCTGATTCCTGGTTAATCCCGGCCAAACCGGGACGGTTGGGAACCCTAACGTGGAATGATCTAATTTAAGCACAAAAATGTAACGAATCTTCTTTGTAAGCATAAAAATTAAGAAAATATATTTATTTACATCAGCTCAAGCTAGCAATTTTATGACTTTTTCGATTGACAGTTAATCGATCATCGGTATGTCATCTATGGCCTTCGCATAGAATTTGCGACGTTGTCAATAAAATTACTTTATATGATTTTCTTCTGAAATAAAGTTGTTGTGGAGGGACTTAAAACGGTAAGTTATCACTTTAGTGCAACAAAAATTGAACTGTCTAGTAGCTTATTCGTTAGTGTGGATTATTTTAAAGCAATTTCTGAAATAAAATTTGCGGATTTTTCAGGTTCTACGAAAATATAAGTTTTTTTAATATATACTGTTTTTCGACGCGTAATCAATGAAGTTTTGTCATTAGGCTCAATTAGGTTAGCCTGGTTATTTGGAAGGTGGTAATGCATTGGTTAGCCTGGTTATTTGGAGGGTGTTAATGCAATGGTTAGCCTGGTTATTTGGAGGGTGGTAATGCATTGGTTAGCCTGGTTATTTGGAGGGTGTTAATGCATTGGTTAGCCTGGTTATTTGGGGGTGTTAATGCATTGGTTAGCCTGGTTATTTGGAGGGTGGTAATGCATTGGTTAGCATGGTTATTTGGAGGGTGTTAATGCATTGGTTAGCCTGGTTATTTGGGGGTGTTAATGCATTGGTTAGGTTAGGTTAGATAGGCTGGTTATTTGGAGGGTGGTAATGCATTGGTTAGCCTGATTATTTGGAGGGTGTTAATGCATTGGTTAGCCTGGTGATTTGGAGGGTGTTAATGCATTGGTTAGCCTGGTTATTTGGGGGTGTTAATGCATTGGTTAGGTTAGGTTAGATATTCTGGTTATTTGGAGGGTGGTAATGCATTGGTTAGTCTGGTTATTTGGAGGGTGTTAATGCATTGGTTAGCCTGGTTATTTGGGGGTGTTAATGCATTGGATTAGGTTAGGTTGGTGGGGAGTGTTTGGAAGTACGCAGATCACATCGATTTCGGAATCTTACTGAACAAATCCGGGAAAAATATATTTTTAAACAATTGTGCTAAATACTGTGTAATGATTTTATTGTCAATTTATTTTTATAGTGTTTTTGTTTTGCCTCGTTTATTATATTTTTAATTTTTCGTGTTCTTAAAGTGCGTACTAAATGTAAAAAAAATGAATATAAAGTAGAACGTTTTCGATTTTACACAGGGTGAGTATGGCAACACTGTGCATAACCTTGTATTTTACTGTCTTTATGAAGGTTATAATAGGGAGTTTTCGCATTGAAATGTAGTGAAAATTTGGAATTTTCAATTATTTTTTTTCGTAGAAAAAGTGGTTCATCCAACAATTTTTTTCTTTTAAACCATTCCATTAACTATGGGATCCACATTAAAAATTAAAAAAACCACGATTTCGTGGGGACCTGTTCTGCACAAGACCCTTAATTGTACTTTAAAAGCCCAAACAGTTCTTTTAAGAACTAAATTTTCGAGTTTTTGAATTGCATTTCTTGAAATTGTGTGTTGAAAATATGCCGAAGCATTTAAACAGTTGAAGCAAACAGCTTGTAACTTCCCTGATAAACTATTTTGAACGAGAACGTGACAATAATGGTCCTATGTTACCCTTGACTGGAGTCAGAGAAGTAAGTTTGCACCACTTTCAAAGTTATTTCTACGTTAGTTTCTATTAAATTCTGTGATTATTAGTTTGTGCATTAATAACACCCTCTTACTTGTTATTACTACTTATGGTGTTGTAAGGTGTACATCAATAAATAAATAAATAACCCATAATAACGCTTAGAATAATCTTCATAATTGGCTAGTTTTTGCCAATATGTAATAAGTAAAATAAGCTATAAAACAAATAAATCAATTTAATTCAGTTACTAAAATATTAGTTATTAAATTAAAAATAAAACGTAAAAATATTTAAAAAATTATATAATAAATATATTGTTTGTCACTACTAAATTAAGATCAATCTCATAAATCCGTCACAATCTGGCAGCGCTGTCACCATCGCTTGTCACTCACGTGCGTCGGAAATTGTTTTGCGATTACTATATATCTCTTACCCATATGAATATGGTCCATAAGAGTACTGCTCTGGAGCATAAGCCACTTGAGCAGCAGGAGCAACAGGAAGAGGCTCGGCGCCGCCTACATGAGTTTGGACAGGCACAACATAGCCATCAAGATTCTCAGGAATAGGACTCAAAGGAACTTCAGCACGTAACTCCAACTGTCTTGCCTTTTCTTTCTCTACAGCAGCCAAGTGCTCTGCTCTGGCTTTAACTACTTCAGGAAGATCTTGGACGGGTTGCGGTAATCCATATCCTAAAGTGGCAGCTTGGGCGTTTCTGTAGGCGGCCTGAAGGGTAGCTAAGTGTTCTGCACGAGCCTTGGCTACTTCGGGAAGGTCTGTTACTGGTTCTGGTAACTGAAAAATTTATATATGTTTTACGTATCTAATTAATATTTAATAATAATACAGCGATTATGGAATTAACCAAAGAGAACTGTTTATGGTATTTAAGTTTGGAGTAGTTTAAAAAAGGTCTGTTTAATGAGAATTTTAATGTAGAATATCATTTCTCTTACATTATCATTTTAAAAAGGACTAAATCTATATTTATTTTTATAATAGTTCTATGGATTTATTATAGAGGGTGGTCCGAACTGTATTCCAGAAACTTCGGCAACATATTCTGCAGACAAAAATAAGTAAAAAAGTTCGTATAAAGGTATGTACTAAAATGTTTAGTTTCGGAGATACAGGATGTAGGTAGTAAGTTTCATGTTTATTTCGATTCTTTCCAAATAACTTCTGAAATAACGTCAATATTTGGACAAAAATTGGCGCCTGGAAGTTTTTTGACATGAGAAATTTGATTTTAATGTCAATATGACTCCTATTTATAGGGAGCGCCACCTACATGCGTTTTAACTGCTTTGAAGAGTAGTAACTTTTCGTCCGTACCTGTATAAAACTACTGAGTGAAAAAATATTCATTTCTGTGATTTTTAACGTAAGAAATGTCTGTTTGTAAAAATCGCAATGAGCAACCGTTCTCAAGATATTTAGAATGGGAGTAGTCATTATTATATGTCATTATTAACAAAAAATAAACAAGATGAGTAGATAAAATTGTTTAATTGAAATAATTGGAAAATATTTATTTGGGAAATTTTTATTATTTCAAATTAATCTGCGAGAAAATGATGATTAAACAGTTTCTGTTGAACTTTTGGCACAAAAACATTTCAAATTTGGGGCTTCTCGACAGTCGACAGTCTAATGAGCTATTTAGTCAACATGTTTAATTTATGTCAATGATGACAGGTATTGATAATTTCGATTCCAAATATCTCGAGAACCATTACTCGTAGCAATTTTTACCAAGATACCTTTTTTACGTAAAAAAAAACGTAGTAAATGTATATTTTTTACTCAGTAGTTTTATACAGGTACGGCCAAAAAGTTATTATTCTTCAAACCACTTAAAAATTATGTAGGTGGCGTCCTATACAAGTAGGAGTCATATTGACATCAAAATCAAGTTTCTCATGTCAAAAAACTCCAAGACACCAATTTTCATCCAAATATTGACGTTACTTCAGAAATTATTTGGAAAAAATCGAAATAAAAGTGAAACTTCTACACCCTGTATCTCTAAAACTAAGCCATTTTAGGACATACATTTATACGAACTTTCTTACTTATTTTAATCTGCAGAATATGCTACCGCAATTTCCGGAATACAGTTCAGACCACCCTGTATATTACTGTAGAATCTAACATATGTTAGATAACATAGATTAAATATCTTGATAATGTTAAATATAGGTATATCATACGATAAAAAAAATAGCATCAAAGAGGACATATATAATAATCCATGATAATTTCAGTGAGGTCAAGCCCTAGACATACTTACTTTTTTTTCGATTATACGGTAGTAACATTATGAAGTCCATTAAAAAAACTAAATAAGTAATTCCAATTAGTTGATCATGCCAAGAAAACTACAAAATGATTTTTATTTTGATTGACTATACACAGTACTTGTGACTGAACACAGTATGTTATACTGAATTTTTGAATTTTTCCAAAACATATTTCTGTACATATTTCATGCTAATGTCATACTGATATCTTTAACTGCTTGGGAAATATTAAATTAATACATTTAGTTAAATTGTTATATCACTGCAGGACAATAGTTGCGAGTGTTATTATTGAATTTTGTCAGTTAAAGAGAAATTTATAAAATTACAATTTTGTCAATTTCTGTTTAATTGTTAATTGCTATTTTTTTATTTATTTATAGAAATAATACGGACACAGATAGACGTTATTACCTTACAAAAAAACACTCCTCTTTTTATTTATTATTGAATTTATTGAGTGCAATTTAGAGTAAATCCCTTTATGGATTATAAAAAAAATGGCGCCGGGAGGCACGTATAGCCGCCCGTAAAATATGTTAATAAAAAGTTGGTAGGCAGTTTTTTTTAGTTTCAAAGTAAAGGAATTTTTCCAATTTTTTATCTCAAAAACTGCGACTTTGACCGATTTTGATGTTATTACAAATTTTGTTGCAAATATTATCCCTAATCTTAAATTGAAAACCGCGTTTCGCTAGCTACTCTAATTTTGGAGTTACGATTTTTTAAATTTTTAACCCCTCCCATATCCCCTTACCAACCCCCCATCCCCTCCAAAAACTAATAACCAGTTTCTCGGGTGCCACAGTATTTTTGTGCCAAATTTGGTTAAAATCGATTTAGCGGTTTTTGAGTTATCGTGTTACAGACAGTCAGACAGACACCATGGAAATATTTTGTATTTAGGTCATTTATGAGCCAAATAACTCATTTTGAGTGAAATTAAAAAAACTTTTTTTTGTCGATCTTAATAGCCTACCATACCTGTTGGTATGGTCGGTCGGCTAAAAATATTGATAATATCTTACCAGTTGATTTACAGGTACTTGTGGTACTTGAGCGTGTGGCACAGCCACAGGATTAAAGTAAGGCACAGTGACAGCAGCTGCAGCTTGGGCAGCTATCTGGGCTCTCTCAGCTTTGATAGCTTCAAATTCAGCCAAATGACTCGCTTTGGCGTGGGCTACTTCGGCATCGTCTGATGGCAAGTTTGAAGCTGCCACTCTGAAACCATGTGTGGCATCAGCTGTGTATTGGACGGTTTGGAGATGTCCATCACCATCTGCAAAATTAAATTAGATGATTAAACTGAAAATCTTAATTAGTGTCCAAAATAGTCAAAACTGTCTTGGTGTACAGTTTTCGATTTCTGAAATTGACCTTCAATATGTCTTACCTATGTATGAGTATCCTCCGTATGTTACACCATCTGCAGCTTTTGTCTCTGACCTACTAACGGTAGGCGTCGCATAACCATAAACATATTGTCCATGATCTTGACTGTGATAGAGCGAGTGAATTGGATGGAAATGTTCTGGGGATAGTTTGACAAGAACTTCACCAGTTGGTGCAGCTGTTATGGTATAAATTACCGATGATATTAGTATCTAAAAACAAAACACAATTTTGTACTCTTTTGCAGCTGCTACTTATATTAGTATAAGTCCTTAATTTTTTTTATAATTTTAAAAAAATACGAATTTTCTACCACAAATATTTAAAGCACTAATAATTATTATTAGCTACAGTCTGTCCAAAAACAATCAAGGTAAAAGCGCGAAGAAATAAAAAAAATAATAAAATAGGTATAGACATTTTTTACAATCAAGGTAGATTTACGCAGAAGACATCCTCCCCTAGACCGTATATTTTTCACTCAGTAGTTTTATACAGGTATGGTCGAAAAGTTATTACTTTCCAAACAGTTAAAACACATGTAGGTGGTGCCCCCAATAAATAGGAGTCATATTGACATCAAAATCAAATTTTTCATGTCAAAAAGCTCCCAGACACCAATTTTTATCCAAATATTGACGCTACTTTACAAATTATTTGGAAAAATAACTTCTACACCCTGTATCTCCGAAATCTATACTAATATATAAAATCCTTAAGTGACTGACACGTAAGAATGTGACGTAACAAGCTCAACGTAAGAAGCTCAATTTTGGCATACAGGTTGATTCTAGGGTGTAGAGGTTCGATAAGAAGGGATTTTTCGAAATTCCAGTTCCAAGAGGGTGAAACCACCCCTCAAATATTACAATATTTTTTATTTAAAAAACGGTCAAGTTTCCGAAAAAACGTTTAAACACGTATATTTTATTTTGTTTTTTTACATATTTTAAGATTTTTTAAAAATGTATACAGGGTGTTTCGAAAAATCTAGTCATTGATTAATCACGATCCTGCTTAAAGCGCTTGATGTAAAAAGCTGAAAACAGATTGACTTTAGGGTGTAGAGGTTCGATAAGAAGCGATTTTTCAAAACTCGAATTCTAAGGGGGTGAAACTAACCCTCAAATATTAAAATATTTTTTATTTAAAAAACGGTGAGTTTTTCGGAAAAACTCTTAAACACGTATATTTCATTTTGTTGTTTTACATATTTTAAGATTTTTTATAAATTTATACAGGGTGTTTCATAAAATATGACCATTGAGTAATCACGATTCTGCTTAAACTGCTTGACGCTTAAAGCTGACTTTTGGCAAACGGATTGCCTGTGGGGTGTAGAGGTTCGATAAGGAAGGGTTTCTCGAATCTTAAATTCCAAGAGGGTGAAAACGCCCCTCAAATTTTACAATATTTGTTATTTAAAAAACAGTTCGTCTTTCGGGAAAACGCTTGGACAAGCATAATTTATTTGGTTTTTTTACATATTTTGAAATTTTTTAAAAAATCATACAGGGTGTTCCAAAAAGTTGGGTAATTTCTTAACCACGATTCTGCTTAAACTGCTTGACGTAAAAAGCTTATTTTTGGCAAACGGATTTTTCGAAAGTCAAATTCCAACGGGATGAAACTACCCCTCAAATATTACCAAGTTATATAATAATATCGCCATATTGTTTTTTCTCATGCTGACATAAATGTGAGAAAATTTTATCCAATTTGTATGTTAATGGAAATTCTTGCTTTGCTTTATCATCACCATTACAAATGATTAATTCGATGCGAACGAAGTCAGGCTAGTACATTTATACGAAGTTTCCGAAGCACAGTTCGGACCACCCTGTATATCGATGGAACTAAATGATTTTGACGTTGATATACTGTATGATCGAAAAAAAAACCCACTTATTTGGTTAATGACGATCAATGACATTTCCCATATAAATTTACATATAAAATGACAGCGATCTTTATTTAATAGCTATGTCTGACGCCGTTCTTTTTTCGATCATACGGTATAAATAAATAAAAATACATTATTAACACAACTACTCCATCACAGATTTGATCTAAGATAACTAATTATAAGAAAAAATATCTAACCTTTGCATGCCTTGCTGTAATGGTTAGTGTATGATAATTAATAATTATTTACATACAATTACAACTAACGTTATTATTGTGATTAACATAATAAATTATAACTGAGAGACAATATAAAACAATACTGTAGTAGAAGTGTAAAATCTACGTTTAATCATTTAGGTTTTTATCTGAATTTTGATTGCTTACAATTAATTGTATGAATTTGAGTTTTTTTGTTATTTCCAAAAAATAACAGAACATTGTCACTGTGTAAAATAAGGTTGTCAAACCCTTCTGGGTTATTTTTCGTATATAATTACGATTTATTACAAAGGTGCACTAAACACTGTAGTTATATTTGTAAAAACTTAAAATGTTTTATAAAATTTCTAAACTATAACAAAAGAAAGGCACAAATCAAACACAGCAAGTGTAAAGGAATGTTTTCCGTTACATAACACCCAGCTACAAAAACTTCAGGGAGACACAAAGAGTCAACTAAGCAGAACAACATCAATAACAAACCTGGTTTATGTTACATATACAAAGGAAAAATTATTCGACACAAACCTGATAAAATATGATTGCAGGACTTACCAAAAACCGCATAATTAATTTCTGTTGTTACTACAAGAACCGACAATAACGATTTAATAGATATATGACCTTAAAGCCTTATATAGTCTGCCCCGCCTTTATCTCCGTTTGCCCATAGGCTTCCACGTAATACCTAATGAAATATTTAAATTCTTTTATGGAGAAATTCGAAAAATTAGTTTTAACACCAATGAAAACACGAATCGACGAAAAAACCTTAGTGATTCCAAGGCTCCTAAGTATCCTGAAGCGCTATTTTTTTGAAGACAGTGGGTAGAATACAGGACTTCCGGCTATAGGTGTGAAACAAGCAATTTATTTTGTCGATGGTTTTAAAATTTATAATGATTTTTTTTCGAAAAAACTACTGTTGTACTATGTCTGTTGTTTTAAAACTGGTTGTTTAAGATGGAATGTAGATTTAAATCAATTATTTATAAGTTAACAATATCTCCCACCAATTAGATGTAGGCACGGTAGAGTAAGTCTGTTCATAGTGGGTTTTAAATGAATTTATATAGCTCGATTCAAGAAACATGACAGTTGCATCATACCATACCTACTAGATACTCGAATGAAATAAGAGATGGACGTTATGATGTTGTTGAATTTATTTTACAATCATCTCCACTTTGATGGAACAGTCATTTCTGTCATTCGTCAATGCTGCGAATAAAGTTTTTCTAATAAATGTATTCTATCTTTGTTTGGTCCATCTCCTAGGACATAAAATTAGAAAACTGTCTCACTCTAACGCATTTAACTTTCTATTCTGCATGTCTTTTCTGAATAAAAATATTCTATAGCGATCGTCATTTTCCGTGAATATGACTATAGCTGTATTACTTTGATATTTTAGTTGAAATTTTTTGGAAGCTTTTAAGAACAACCAGATGTAAAAAAACGCAACGAAAAATTTTTATGCCCCCGCATAATGAAAGAAATGATAAAAATTATTGATATCATAATAATACAAACTCAGGGATAGGGAGAGGTGGACTAATTGCATGGGCCTCCTCGATCACCTGACCTATCCATTTTAGATTTTTTTATGCGGTATGGTTAAAAATAAGGTTTACAAAAGAACTTATGAATTACAAGAGGCACTCGAAGTGGCGGTACGAGAAAAGTTTAATTAAATCAACCGGTCCTTTTGTGAGAATAGGTAATAATTCAGTTTTAAAAAGATGTAACTCAAAACAATGGAATTTTTGAACATTTTCTAAAATAACTTAAAGTGTATGCAGTGACTCGACTGCAGCGATATTATTTTTTTAAGTTTTAGTTTGTGTAATGTAAATTCTAGAGAACCGTTTAGTAATATATTCTGACTTTTTATAAGTTATAAATCATAAAAGAATAAAAATGCCATGCAATCTAAGTGAAATTAGTCAAGAGAACTAAGAATTGGCTATAACTAAATTTAACTTTTCTAACAACCATTTAACTAATATTGTCCATATAATTCGTTCATTTCATTAAAAACTAAAAAAAAAACTGTTTAAATATTTGTTAAAGAGGATCAATTAATATGATTCCAGTATTCAAACTACATTAACTGACTGTTTGCGTTGATTAATAATAATTGCTCCAAATACTAAAAAACTGAATTTTGTATGGGCATTAGACAGTGTGATAAAAAGTAACACCTTAAAATGATATTTCATTTTTTTTTAATAAATGCTTTATTTATAACAACAGAGACTTTAATTTGATAACTTATTGTTATATTGATTTCTGACTCAAATCCACATTTATTTATAATAATTTATTAACGAACACAATTAAGTATGTAATTAATTAGTATATGGGCGGAAATAATGGTGTTATATTTAATTAATGGTATATTCTTTTATAAAGATTTAAAAGTCTTGAAAATCGTTCTCTAAAAAACATAACATTCACCGGTCAACGTATCCTCGAAAATGTATGGTCAAGAAAAGTTGAATCAATAATCTTACACGCTTTTCTTCATTTGAAAAATTCATATTTACAATTTTTGTTTATTTTAATTTACAAAGTTTGGATGTGGCAGCTTCACATTTATAAGAGCAAAGACGATTGTTTCCATGGCTAACTAAGTGAAATTATTTAAAACTGATAAGAATTGGCTATAACTCGATAATTTTTCGAAGAAAATATATTATAGCTTATATCGCTGAAAAGCTTAAAAAACGGCACTTTTTATAAAGTCATGGCCAACTATGGTTTCCATTTAAAAAAACATATGTTTGTGTCAAATGTCAAAAATGACAGGTTTTAGAAAAAAACGGAGGACACAATCTCATTAAGGATGTGATTATCTACAACTTTTATCTGAAAACTTTTTGTCTAAAATAGCTTATAATGGAATTAGGGACAATTTTTAAAATAGCCTAATAATATCTAGTAAGTCATGAACTTTTTCAAAAATCTGAAAGGCGCATATTTATGACCCCACAAAACTGCAATTCTTTCCCTATTTAACCGACTCTCTATCTCCAGTAGTTTCCGAGATACCCATAGAGAACATCGTAGGAAACTCACCCTGTAGAATATGAATTTAAAGGAAAATAGGGAGAAAATAGCCTATTAAAATTTAGAAAAATATCTAAAGACCGAGGGGCGTCTCACACAGAAAACACTTGATTAGAAATGTAAACAAAAATGTATAGAACATATATCCGCAACTGTCAAATCGATAGGTCGCAATGATTCCAGATCATTTCGTCAATCAGACATCCGTACCACAAGATTGACAAAACAAAAAAAAATACTTCACTTCACTGTTAGTTACTCAGTCACTACAGTTAGTCACTCTAGTTTTTCTATAAAACTTAAATAAAGGCTATAAACTAAAACTAATCTGACATATTCAAGAGTACTTTTATTGCACATGTTCCATAAAAAAAAATTACATAAGTGTATTTACATTAAAAATGCAGGTAAAATGATACGATATATATGAGAAAAAGGTAACGTGAAATCACAACACCATTTCGATAAAATTTCAAATTCACAAAAACCTAAATTTTGTAAATTCGAAAAATTTACCATGGGGTCTTATGGCTAGTTGTCCTCTAATAGGCTCAGAAAATAGTTAAAACCTATCTTACTTTGGCCTAGAACTAAGACAAAAACTCCTATACTTGATTTATGTATTCAATCATGAAAATATGATACTGGTACAGACTAATACGACAAAATATTTTTTGAGCATTTTTTTCAAGGTTGTAGTGAGATTTAGAGTTGGTAATAATTACAGAAAACAATAAATTAATAGAAAAAGGTATAGAGGTAATGCTTATAAAAATATTTTGTTTCCTATGCGGTTTTATCTACAGGTTAATCCTTCTAGTAGTAGTGTCCGGGTCCGGCAAGGTAAGCTCCTGATCTTACTGCGTTGTGCGCAGCAAAATGGTAAGCTTTGGCGGCTTTGACTTCGGGAGTTTCAACGGGTTGGCCGTCTGGTCCGATGGTAGCTGGGGGTCCGTAGTATCTGTGGTAGGGTTCTGAGTACCTACCAGCGTCGTAAGCACCAGCTGAAAATAAAAAAAGCAACATTAAATTATACTAAATGAAAAAAACACTTTATAATTCTGCAAAAGACATAATGAAAAGTAGAACTTAAATCTTAGAGAGGTAGAGGAACTATCCTCCCAATGATCATATGATAAAAAATGAAAATATCATTATCATCATCATCATTTTCAGCTTATTCAACCATTTCCAATTTTGGTTTCGCTTTCCTCACATACTCTCTTTGTAGTTGGGCCCATTGTCGTCTATTGTTGGCTATACGGGCCCAAGTTATCCTTGCCTGAATTCTTAATATCATAGTCCCACCTCAGGTTCGGTCTTTTTCTTAGGCCTCTTAATTCCTCGTAGGTATCATGCTGTAATTTTTGTGCTCCATCTGTTGTCCCTTCTTCTTGCCAGGTATCCTGCCCATTGTTATTTGAGGTATTGGACTCTGTGGATGACATCTATTACCTGGGTCTTTTGTCGTATCCACTCTATTCTTTTACGGCCTCTTTTGGTTATTCCCAGCATATTTCCGATATTCAAAACCAAACCAAAAATGAGAATATAGCGGTTTATATATCGATAATAGGTTTTTATCTTTTTCTCTATCTCCTCCGTTAACTCTAGAAAAAGTACGTTAATATAATGTCTCAATTGGGCGGATCGTTGTTCTCTATTCCTCGCTATACAAGTGGATAACTAAGATGAGATTTTCCAGTTCATCAAATGATTAAAAATGAGTTCTTCTCGAAATGTATTCAAAGTAGGTACCTAAAGTAGAGTTGTTTATTTTGGTTGAAGGTCTTGTGACTTTACCTGTCATTAAATGGATATTGGTACGTTGTTCTGTATATGAAAATCGCATTATTCTTCTGGAGACACACATTTCGAAAGCATCTATTTTTCTTCTGTCCGCAGTTTTCTGGGTCTAGGTCTCAGATGTATAAGCAGCTATAGGAAAGAAGGAGTCTTTCCATAGAGAGGTTAGTTTTATTGTTGAGTTACTTGCTAATCTATACCGAAATGAAATAATTGCTAATATACGTCTGATTTCTTCATTACAGCCTATCTTGATTGTTATAAGAAATTGAAAGGTAATTGAACTTTTCGACCACTTCAAAACCATCAATCCCCATATGCTAGTTACTATGCTAGTTACCATCAATCCCCATATGGATGTTACTAGGATTTCGGTCTATGGTTTTTATAAAATTTTAAAAAAGCAATGCTTACAGTTATCGTAGTATGGTGATGCTCCAGATCTAGAGCTGGCTTCGGCTAAAGCAGCCAAATGGCTAGCTCTGGCGGCTTGGACTTCGGGTGTTTCTACTGGAACTCCATTGGGTCCGATTACTGGCACGTGGTAACCACCATACACGTCACGACGTCTGCGGTAGTGGGCACCGGCACGTGCAGAAGCTTCAGCGTGGGCCTGGAAGTGAGCAGCTTTGGCTAACTGGACCTAGAATAATAATGGAATATGTATAATGATATAATGTTGTATTTAAGATGTATAGTTAAAAAAAATAGCCAATCGCAGAAAAATATCTCTTAGAACAGCATTTTTTAGCAGATTATTCTAAATAGAATGTATTACCACAGGGTTCTCTTCCCATATGACTTGAAGTGAGAGTGGTTTTTGCTTTTTGTGTGTATCTGCATCTAAACTTTTAGGTAATTTTGTTGAAAATATAAAAAATATAGAATGTCCAACGATAATCTCATAATATCTATTTTTTAACGCGACTAATTGATAGTGATTATATTTTTATATATCAAGGATAATAATTATTGGGTGTTAATATTAAAAAATATTTACCAAATATAAACAACTATAAAATAGTTCAAATATTCTTATCAATTTTTATGGCGATATATATTTTAGTATAACATAAAATAGTTCCAATATTTTCATTATCTTTGACTTATCAGATTTAAACCTAAACTGAATATTTTTGAGAGAGCTGTTGTATGATTAAATAATCAACAAATAGAACACATATCTACACCTGACACAGGCATGTCAGATTTTATCAATCATAATATGGACATTCTATGTCAGTAAATATTGATGTATGTTGGTATCCAATGATAATCCATCGGAAAAAATCTATTTTTATATTGGCAGAAAACATAGAATCTGCCAGTTTAATTTTTCGTGTTTCGTTTTTCAATAATAATATATTGTTTTATTAGGAGCAAAAATGACACTTTTTGCGGCAACGCACTGTACATTTGACATATGCCTAGGTTTTTGCCTAAATGACTTTTTTATATTTTTAATCACGTCGCAAAAATTAATACTTTGGTGACGTTTGAAAAAAAAATGTTTGCGTAAAATAAAACATATTCTTACTTCGGGAGTATCAATAGGATATGGTCCAGCTAAGACAGGTGCAGCAATAGCAGGCAATGGTGCGTAAACACCATTTCTATGAGCAGCGGCGGCAAAATCTCTGTAATGTTGTACTTTAGCAGCGGCAACTTCGGGTGTGTCCAAAGGAAGGGCATTATGACCTAAAATATTTGTTTCCAATTGTAAATAAAATAAGTTAGTTTTTTTATTATCAAGAAAATAGATTTAAGACAATAAAGAGGCTTTCTTTAGCGTCTTAGAAAGCATAAATAAGTAAGAAAAAACACGAGTTATAATAAAAATTAGTTAAAATCAATTTAAAATATTTTTTACAAACCTAAGGCTTGTACTGGAGCGACGGCATAAGGTGCGTAATACGAAACTGCTCCACCTCCGTAAGCTGAGGCTACGGCAGCTAAGTGATTGGCTCTAGCGGCTTGGACTTCGTGTGGTTCTACCGGTACACCATTGGGACCTATGACAGGGATGTGTTGGGGACCTAAGTAAGCAGCTGAGGTTGCTGCCACGGCAAGGGAAATGAGAATCTGTAAGATAAACGTATCAATATTAATTAAATATTTGTTTATTATACTGAACAGAAAAAGAGAAGATTGTAAAATAGTAATAATACACATGATTGCCTATTGAGCTAAAAACTCCCTATTAGATTAGATTAGATTAGATTAGATTCTTAGAGGTGGCTTTCGGCCTGATCCACTGCGACCTTCTCAGATCTATTGTGGTCCTCTTCCCTTAGATTACATTCTCCAGTCCCTTTTCACAAAGTATAGCAACTTGGAGACTGAACCCTCCATGTAGCTCCCTGGCAATGGCCTATCATTGCCTATTACCGAGAACCGCACATTTGCCAGGCTGTCACACCGACATAAAATGTGTTCTGATGTGTCTTGTCCAGATTGGCAGAAACTACACATAGCTTCGTCTATTAGTCCCATCAGCTTTAGGTGCCTATTTAGCTTACAATGCCCTGTTAGTAGACCTAGTACAGCTTTGATTGTCTTTCTGTCCTTGCTTATCAAATCTGCCGTGAATTTTGGCGAATGTTCTACAATGAACCTTTGTGTTGGCCACCCATCGCTCCGTGGCCATTCTCGTGACTGCCTTTGCAACGCCGCAGAAGTGTTCTGGTCCTATGAATGATGAGCCTTGCTTGACCCTTTCATCTGCATTTTCGTTACCCTTGTGATCCCCGTGCCCTAGCACCCAGGCCAATGTAACAGTGCTACATTCGCCTAAAGTATTCAGAGCACGCACACAGTCCCACATTAGTCTAGAATTGACCTCCGCGGAGCCGAGTGATTTTAGCGCCGCTTGGCTGTTTGTGAAAATGGCCACAGAACGATTTGTTCTTTGTTGCCTTATTATTTCTTCTACAAAATAGTGGATTGCCGTTATTTCTGCCTGGAAAATTGTGACATCCTTAGATAGGCTTACGTGGAAGGATCTCCCTTGTTTCGGCCCTACTATCCCAGCTCCTACGCCTTCTGACGTTTTTGAGCCGTCTGTAGACCAGATTGCCTCAGCTTGAATCGGTACACCTTTACTTCAGTCTTCCCTTCCTGGTATGGTTATATTAAATTTGTTGTTGAAACTATACCTTGTAGCTGTTGCATCAATTGGTAATCCCAATACTTTGTCTGATTTAACTTAAACTTTTTTGCAGATTAGAGTTGTAGTTTACGGAAAAGCGTGTAGAATACTGGTTCAAATTTTCTTGGCCATACAGTTTCGAGAATACGTTGACCGGTGAACGTTACTTAGTTTTTTTTTTAGTTTTTTAGAGAACGGTTTTCAAAGAGATGTTAAAGAAGTTAAATTTAGATACTCGCGCATTATTAGAGAGGTTCTAACATGACTTACAATATGACACACCACCCCTCAATGAAAGAAACATTAAAAATTATTTATATCATAATTATGTAGACTTATTGTATACAGGGTTGTTCACCACATATGACACAGAGTATTCTAGCTAGACGATGAGATTTTTACAAATTGTAAGTTTTGGGTTCGATGAAGGACTATTAGAGGTACAATTTAAAAATAACTTTACAAGATACAGAATGTCCCAAATAAGTAAAAAATATCAAAGTTGTATTTTTTTAAATGGAACACCCTGTATATTATTACATTTTTAGTTTCTACGATTAAAATAAAGGTAAATTTAATTAAGGTTTATTATACTTAAACCTTACCGTTTTTGAAATATTTTCAATTTTGTGAAATTGCAGTAAAAATTTTAAGGCTTCATTTCTCCAAGGGTATCAAAGTTTTTAATACGAAATATTTACTGAAGTTTATTTACTGATCAGTTATTGTGTTGCAATAATAAAAATAATACTACCTTATACAGAGTGTCTAAAAATTTATTTTAAATAATTATTAGCTTCAAACGGCAATAACTTGTTTAATTTAAATCGAACACCCTGTATATTTTACGAGAATCAGATGCACAATTTAATTGTCTATCAAATTATATTATACCATTTTTTACCTATCTCTTTAAGTTTCCGTAGAAAATGCATTTTCTTGTAATTTAGAACTTATTTATCAATATACCCATGGACTATTGACATTTTAGATTATTTTTAAAAAATTTTTAAAGAGTAAAGATCATTTTAAAATTTTTAAAGAGTAAAGATACTAATATTGTCCATATAATTCGTTCATTTCATTAAAAAATAAAAAAAATTGTTAAAGAGGATCAATTAATATGATTCCAGTATTCAAACTACATTAACTGACTGTTTGCGTTGATTAATAATAATTGCTCCAAATATTAAAAAACTGAATTTTGTATGGGCATTAGACAGTGTGATAAAAAGTAACACCATAAAAATGATATTTCATTTTTTAATAAATGTTTATTTATAACAACAGAGACTTTAATTTGATAACTTATTATTATATTGATTTCTGACTCAAATCCACATTTATTTATAATAATTTATTAACGAACACAATTAAGTATGTAATTAATTAGTATATGGGCGGAAATAATGGTGTTATATTTAATTAATGGTATATTCTTTTATAAAGATTTAAATAGTTTTCTTTTTGCATACAAATGGGCTAGTAATATTATCGTTTTGTTAAAAACGATAATATTACTAGTCTATTTATTTTGTACATTTGTTGCTTTAAAACAATCTAAAATGTCAATATTCCATGGATATATTGATAAATGAGGTCTAAATTATTAGAAAATGCATTTTCTACGAAAACTTGAAGGGATAGGTAAAAATGGTATAATACAATTTGATAGACAATTTAATTGTGCATCTGATTCTCCTAAAATATACAGGGCATTCCATTTAAATTAAAGAAGTTATTGCCGTTTGAAGCTAATAATTATTTAAAATAAATTTTAGACACTCTGTATAAGGTAGTATTATTTTATTATTGCAACACAATAACTGATCAATAAATAAACTTCATTAAATATTTAGTATTAAAAACATTGATACCCTTGGAGAAATAAAACTTTAAATTTTTACTGCAATTTCACAAAATTGAAAATATTTCAAAAACGGTAAGGTTTAAGTATAATAAACCTTAATCAAATTTACCTTTATTTTAATCGTAGAAACTAAAAATGTAATAATATACAGGGTGTTCCATTTAAAAAAATACAACTTTGATATTTTTATTTATTTGGGACACTCTGTGTCTTGTAAAAATATTTTTAAATTGTAGCTCTAATGGTCCTTCAACGAACCCCAAACTTACAATTTGTAAAAATCTCATCGTTGAACTACAATACTCCGTGTCGTATGTGGTGAACAACCCTGTATATACAGAGAGAGGTGGACCAATCGCATGTCCCACCTCGATTACCTGACCTATCCATTTTAGATTTTTTTATGCGGTATGGTTAACAATACACAAGATTTACAAAATAACTTATGAATTAAGAGAGGACTCGAAGAGGCTGTACAGAAGTTTAATTAAGTCGGCCGGTCGTTCAGTGAGAAATAGCTAGAAATTCAGTTTTCAAAAGATGCATTTATGTACTCAAAACAATGGCGGATTTTTTGAACATTTTCTAAAATAACTTAAAATGTATGTAGTGATATTATTTTTTAAGCTTTAGTTTATGTAAAGTAAATTATAAAGAGCGGCGCGGCGGTTTAATAATATATTTTGTCTTTTTATAAGTTATAAATCATAACAAAATAAGAGCACCACGCCAACTAAGTGAAATTAGTTAAGAAAGATAAGAATTGGCTATAACTCAGTAATTTTTTGAAAAAAAAACATATTATAGCTTATATTGTTTTATATGGTTTTCATTTAAAAAACATATGTTTGTGTCATATGATATGTCAAAAATGGCAGGCTTTAGAAAAAAAAAACGGAGAATACAAACTCATTAGGGATGTAATTATCTACAACTTTTATCTCAAAACTTTTTGTCTAAAATAGATTATAATAGAATTAGGGACAATTTTTAAAATAGCCAAAATTAGTGTTTTTCGAAATATCTAGTAAGCCATGAACTTTTTGAAAAATCTAAAAAGCGCATATTTATGACCCCACAAAACTGCAATTCTTTCTCCATTTAACCGATGCTCTGTCTCCAGTAGTTTCCGAGATACCTATTGAAAACATCGCACAGTGCTTCGAACATATGGCTCTAGAGGACAAAAATCCAAAACTTCTCTTTTATTGTAAGCAATTGATTCAAACTAGGTTTATTTGACACAAATGATGAGTACTCTCATTGTACTAAATGATGATGTTCTTAGTCCCACGTTTATGAAAAAAAAATCTTATAAATAATAATAATGTTGGAGTTGTCTTCCATCTAAGCAAATAATAAGTTATAGTATGAAAACGGTGTAAGTATTAAATAAATTCCTGTGATAAAAAAGAATTGAAATAACATTAGAACATGATTCCTACAATACAAGCCTAATATAAGATAAAAATGTTTTTCTTTAATGAAAAAGAAACATTAATGTTATATTTAATTAAAAAAAAACTTAAGATACTATAAATTTACTTTAGGACAACAAAATGCATAGATCGTAACTACTCTGATTCAGGAGAATCACTGCTGACAGAATCTTCCAAATTTATAGTATCAAATCACAGGTAGATGAAGTATCCTCACATATAAGATATTTCTGTACATAATTTTCTAATATGTTTTTTTTTTTCTACTTTTTCGCGTTGTTACTGTTCATTTTGTCGGTACGAGGGGTTCGGATGTTAATAGTTACCTCTTTAATAGACCATATCCATATATTATTTTTTCCTTTTCTTGGGTATGAGATTTTATACAAATTGAAAGATGGACACTTTTTTTATGCGACGTTTCGCTCCAACATAGTGGACTTTTTCAGGCACAAGTGGTGTCTCATTTGACTGGAAGGTTCATCAATATCTAATAAGAACATATTTTTTGAAATACAAATAATTTTGAGTTCTTGTCCTTATGATCAAGCCAAGTATTAGCCAGATCGGCATTGCTTATCAATTTTACTCCATCTGAAAAGTATTATAAAATAAAGTTCGTCGC